GAGAGTGGTGAGGTGCTGGAACAGCTGCCCAGAGAGGCTGTGATGCCCCGTCCATCCCTGCAGGTGTTCAAGGCCTGGTTGGATGGGGCCCTGGGCAGCCTGGGCTGCTGTGAAATGGGGAGGTTGGTGGCCCTGCATTGGTGGGGGGTTGGAGCTTTGTGATCCTTGAGCTCCCTTCAACCCACACCATTCTGTGATTCTATGATCTAATCTAGGACTTTTGGAATACGGTGTCTAGTAATTACTACCAAAAGTAACTGCATACTAAATGAAAAGCTCCTATCTACCACAAAAGCTAACTGCCCTCTGTGAGCAGAGCATTAGTAGGTCACATTTTCCAATTGAAGACATCTCAAGTTGGTAAGCACTATCCTGCAGCACTCTGGAGTCCTACAAAGCCTCGCTGGGGCATCAATTCAATGTGCTCTACTCACCGACGCACTGCTAAGCCTCCCAGAAGTTTGTATCTCAGGGACTCTGCCTGGGCGATGGCACACAGACCTCTGGTGGCCACCTTCTCGGCATAGAGCTGAAAAAATAAGTAGCAAACTCAGAAAGGCTTTTATTTCTAGATGATTTTCATTAAAAAGAAGCCAAGAGCTTCGTATCACTCCATGCCCCATCCCTCAGACCAAAGCAGAAGCTGTATCTTCAGACAGGAAGACACAGAACCTGTGAACCAGAGCTGGGACAATGAGGTGCACCGAATCTAACATCCCTAATAGCCAAAGTCTGACAGCTGAGAAGGAGAGATTCAGAAATTACAAACACAAGAGCACCAGAGCTAATGAAGCAAACGCTTGAAGAGTTATTAAATAGTTTCTGGAGAGAATCAGCAATTGTGTACCCATGATCCAGCAACACTGCTTGAGCAGAAAGAAACATGAAGGGCACCCCAAACCACAACATCCCCCCTCTCATAAGTTATTTTGGAGGGCACTACTAGCAAGGCCACCAGACTTTAACCATTACAAAGGCATCAGGGAAATACTGTTGTCTCTATTGTCTAATTCATTCCAGTATCACACAAAAGTCTCAAAGGCAGTTCTGCACCTGAACAGCTACGGGCAAAAGCATGAAGAATTTAATAAGGGCGACGGCAATGCATCAATTCCAAAAACTATGGAATTGATTGACCTCTCACCTCAATGCTGGCACAGAAATACTCCCTACAAAATATTTTTAGAGAATGGTAACAAGTTTTACCTGTTTCTGTGCTCTCACTTGCTTGGAAAGCAAAGCAAACCAGACCAACTGAGCGCACTCAAAACAGCTGACAGCACAGCGATATTCCCCTTCCAGTGCAACACTGCTTTGTGAGAACAGGTGAAACGTGCCCCGAGTGATCCTGAAGTCAAATCCCCTCTCAGCTGAAGCCACCCAGACACACACACACAGCCCACGGCACAGCCCCACTCAGAACTGCTTTATCTGAAGCAGTTTTACCTCCACGCTTCCCTCGGGGAAGCCAAACCTCTTCTGCACAACAGCCGTCAGCTCCCGGATGCGACGTCCCTTTTCACCCAGCACATTCTGGGTTCTGGGGGGGGGGGGAAAAAAACAACACCACCACAGTGTGATTGAGGGAGTATCACCATGTCAGAGCCTGCAACCATCCCAAGGAGCTTCCAGACTGAGTGGCTAACCCTGCTCAGGCTGGTGATTAGATGGTGATTCTGTTTTACCAAAGCATCTCCTTCCCAAACACCTCAGCCTAATAATGCTTACCAAACTTCAACAGCACCCCATCAAGACTTGCACAGCTTTCCTAAGCGGACAGCAGTGTTTTGGTTACCTGGTGGCAAGTATGATAATCTCAGTCCTGGTTGGAGTGACCCGGACTTCTACTCCAGAGTACCCATCTTCAGCCAGTTCACGAGTCAGAAACTCATTCAGTTCAGCTTTGAAGATGCCATCAGCGACAAACTATGGAACAAACAGACCAAGATGGTGTAAGCACTTCATCCCTCCCAAAACAACACAAGAATCTGACGTTTTAAGTCTGGGTCCCCGGCCTGTCTTGCAGTCTGACAGCTTCTCTCTCCCAACAGAAAAAAAACAGAAGTGAGGGTGAAATAAAAGCATCCTAAAGCTCCCAGAGATAAATCACCTCTAGTAAAAGCCAACACCAGAGCCTGATTCACGCCCCAAAACAGCCACAGTTCAGAACAAACAGTCAAATATCTCATTTCTATGTCTTGCAGAAGTACTTTGATGAAGTGTGAGTTTGCATGAACTCACTGCAGAAATCGTATCCCCTCAGCAGCCCCACAGGTGCCTCAAACCCTGCTAGGTCTCCTGAAGTGTGCCCTGAGCAAGTTTGCTGATGGCACCAAGCTGAGTGGTGTAGCTGACACAGCAGAAGGGAGAGATGGGAAATAGATGGACCTGGACCAGTTGGAAAAGTGGGCACAGGTGAACTGAAGGAGGTTTGACAAGGCCAAGGCCAAGTGCAGGGTGTTGGACTGGGGCAATCCCAGATAAGAGCACACCTTGAGAGCAGCCCTCTCAAGTAGGGTGTGGGGGTTCTGGTGGAGAAAAGCAGGACAGGAGCCAGCAGTGAGCACTCACAGCCCAGAATGCAAACAGTTCCCTGGGCTGCACCAACAGAGGGGGCAGAGGGCAGGGAGGGGACTGTCCCCCTCTGTCTGCCCTTGTGAGGCCCTATGTGGAGCACTGCATTCAGGCCTGGGGCTCCCAGCACCAGAGGGACACGGGGCTGTGGAATGAGATCCAGAGGAGAGCATGGGGATGCTCAGAGGATGGAGCACCTCTCTATAGAGACAGGCTGAGGGAGCTGGGGGTGTTCAGCCTGGAGAAGGGAAGGCTGTGAAGAGACCTCACTGCGGCCTTCCAATACTTGTGTAGTTTCTAAGCAGGACAGAGAACGACTTTTTAGGTGGTCTGAGAGGAACAGGACAAGAGAGAATGGTAATATACTAAAAAAAGGAAGATTTAGGGTAGATGTTAGGAGAGAATCCTTGATTCAAAAGGTGGTGAGGTGCTGGCACAGCTTCCCAGAGAGGCTGTGGGTGCCCCACATCTGGAGACGTTGGAGGCCAGCTTGGATGAGGTCCCGGACAGCCTGACCTGGTGGGGGACAACTAACCTATGGCAGCAGTTGGGACTGGGCTGGGCTAGTTTTAAGGTTCCTTCCAACCATTCTGACAACTCCATGACAAGTCAACCACAACCCACACCCTGTGCGCACGAGCACAGCATCACTAAACCCAAACTCCGCGTTATAAAACAACGAAAAATCACCTTCCAGCCCTGCCGCCCCTCAGCACAGCACACAGAAGCTCCGAGCCCCGCGTGCGGCCCACACGCGATCCCTGAAAGCAATTCACGGCTCCCCGCGGCCCCAGCCAGGGCCCGCCGCACGCTCCCCCCGCCGCCATGTTCCCCGCCCGGCCTTGAAGCCGCATCCGCCGCCATCCTTCCGCATCTGCCGCCATCCCCTTTTCGCCACCCCAACCCGATGAACTCCGAGGCCGCCCCCAGCGCGTCCCCGCCGATATGGGAGTGCTTCGCGGCTGCGGAGCGGAGGGAGGCCGCCCTTACCTTGCGCTTCTTGGAGATCTGCACCGCCATCTTGAGCCGCGCCGCCCGGCGGAAAGAGGGCCTATTTCCGGGGGGAGGGCTATATCAGCCTTCCGCCGCTCCCCATTGGCTCGGGGCGATCACGTGGGTCTTGGCGCTGGGATCGACGGGAAAGGTAGTCTTCCCTGCGCCGCCATGTTGGGGAGGATTAACCCTTCCCCTTTCAGCGCGCATTGCCGCCCTGCCAGGCTGCCGTCAGCGCCCTCAGTCGGCGTTAAAATGGCTACAAAGCCGATTTTAATGCAGCCGGGCGCTGACAGGATGATAACTCACCCAGAGGTGCCACACAGAGGTCAGCTCCGGCTGCACAGAGGCCTCCTCAGGGACAGCCCTGCTGTGAGGGGAGCCCCGCACTGACCGTCCTTCTGAACCTTTATTTATCCTATCTTTGGAGAATCCCAGTGCCTCCAAGTGCCAAAGAACATTTGGGCACCGAGTGCTGCCCAGGTAGATGGTGGGGTCACCAACCCTGGAAGCGTTCCAGAGCCATGGGGATGCGGCACTGAGGGAATTGGGGGGGGGTGCACTGGGATCTGGGCAATCTTATGCAACCTTAATTATTCCATGATCTTATGACTGGCTTTTGGTTATGGTGGGCAAATGAGAAATGATGATAACGAGTAGAATTGATATGTGAGAGTACATACAGAATCACACAGCATCACAGAATGGCTTGGGATGGAAGGGAGCTCAAGGATCACGAAGCTCCAACCCCCCACCAATGCAGGGCCACCAACCTCCCCATCTCACAGCAGCCCAGGCTGCCCAGGGCCCCATCCAACCTGGCCTCCAACACCTCCACGGATGGACGGGGCATCACAGCCTCTCTGGGCAGCTGTTCCAGCACCTCACCACTCTC